ATGAAACTTCAAAATTCGATCAAGCCGATCTATCTAATTTACCTGAGTCTGATACATTGAATCGACTGACGGTTGCTTCGGCTGTAAGCGAAATAGAACAGGTAGAAGCTAATCTTTTACACAAAACCGAACAAATCACAAAAACTCAAGAGAGTATAGTTGCAACGCCAGGTATAAAAGATAAGACGAATGAACCATTAACATCTCCAGCAGCACAAAGCACAAGAAGTGTCCAATTACGAAATCGTAAACGTCGAATATCCAGCGAGAAAGCGCGTCATTCATCGGAAAGTGATGATAATAATGATGCAGCAATCGAGTCACCGCTATCACAAGATGCTAGCATCGATGAAGAGGTGGGTGGAAAACGAATTAAAATGCGACCAAAAGTGGTGAAGAGAACATTACGCAAATCTGTTGAACAAAAACGTAATATCAAAGACATCTTACTGACATTTGTGATATAATAAGTGATCTTGGTGTAAATATATGCTTAAAAAATGTATCCTCATGTTTTTTTCTATACAAATAAAAATAAAGTAAGAATCATTGAAACAAATAAGTTTTGTTTTTTTTTTCTTCTCTTTTTTCATCCTTTAATTTTTGTTCTACATTAAAATTCTTTTATTTTTTTGTTCTTATATATTTGTTTGTAAATTAATTTATTCAAGATAAAAATGGAGAAAACATTAATTAAGTAAACACGTTTCACATAATGAAAAACATGTATCAATCACCGAGAATATTTTGAATTATAAACAATTGTATTGACACTATGGTACACTAATGAAATTTATTGTATTTAATTTATGAGAAAAATCACTTTTTAACTGTTTCTATGATATGTTATATTTTATGTTGGTAATACTTACCAAATCAATTCAATGGAAAAAAACGAATGAAATATTGATAAAAGCATACAATGATTTTTGGATAGAATAGATCCGTAAGATCTCCGCAAGATCCGGATCCAAGCGTGCGTACGTAGCCGCATGATACATACATTCCTTACTCCGTAATGCTATGGCATGCGAATCAAAGAAGGGGAAATAAGAATAACGAATTTGCGTGCGTATTATATATGTATGCATCATGCGGCAGTGTACGCACGCTTGGATCTGGATCTTGCGGAGATCCTACGCATCTATCCTATCTAAAAATCATTGTATGGATAAAAGGCAAACTTTATTGAAAATTACCATGCTGAATATCGTTCATTCAATGTCGAATGCCTTTTAAAAATGCTTTTTTTGGCGTGAATATGATATCCACCATAGAATATTGCAATGTCTCAGTTGTGATATTATTGTGTTGCAATAGAAAGTGGTTATTTTGTTTATTGATATCTTTAAAGTTAAATGGATTTGTTCAAAGGAAAACACACAATTGTTATATTTTTGTCACACTTATAATAATTCTTTATTTGTTTCCTTCGAATCAAGTAAAAAAGAAGTGAACAAAATGACAAAAAAATGTATTTCAAACCAGATAAAATAAACCAAATTCCCAGCTTGACTCCAATTAATATTTTAATAATATATTTTGCCAAATATGTTTCTCAACATATTGCATCTTATTAATATGTTTGCCGCTATTTTTGAAACATATTTTCTAACATAAATATGTTGGACATTAACATATTAATAACTACATCGATTTTGTCAAGCTGCAGAAATGCCTATGAAATATTTGAATGGTATGGTATAATGCTATATTAAAGACACCTCGATCGTGATAAACAGTTCATTTGCAATGGGTCTTTAGAATGTCTAACCTTACTTTTTTATTCTTTCTGTTTGGTTTTACGCATTTAATTTAGCTTTCATTACATACTATAGTAGTAATTGTAATACGTAATTCTTAAAGGCTAAATTAATGTTGAATTGTTGTTTCTAATCTTACGAACGTGGATATATTTCTCTGTGCATTCTCTGTCAATTTTTGTTGTTGTAATTAATTTTTTATTTGTTTGAATTTTCTAATTTAAATTCTTTGTCTCTTGATTTACACAATTACAGTTTATTTTCATCCATAATAGAAATATAAATGTAGAGAAAAAATACCTCTCAAATATTCTTTGTCGTGTATTTTCTTTTCTCGTGGGGTTAGAAACATTTTGTTCGCATTGACAAAATGGAATTGGGAAAATGACACTACTTCTACATGTTATATTTAAAAGATTTGATATAAATATGCGATTCAATCAATTACCTGCAATTTCATGTGTTTACTGCACTTTCAACGTGTTGCCTCTTCAATTATGTTTGTTTCTTTCTTTCATTGCTTTTCCCTTACATAGTTAGCAAATGTGGTCTGTATCTCTTCTAATAATTATTATTACAAATACCTTAAAATTTATTTTTCCATTCATTTTTCTTTTGCTTTCGTTTAACTGTGTGCCCCGCATTCCAACAAATATGTGCGTTGAATACGACGCATAAAGAGTCGACACAGTTAACTTGATCGACTGAATACGGCACAGTTCACTTGATCGACTTAATTTTTTGTAATTATCGTTATGCCATAATTTATGATGAGAAATTAAAGTAATAACAAATGAAAATTTTATATTTAGGATAAAACTTACTTAGCTAAACGAGGAATCGACTTTTTACTTGGAAAATATTCTGTCCTTCAAAATTTCCTCATTAGTTTTTTTTTTTAAATCTTAGTATTCTTTATCATACATTTTAATGGATTTTCTTCAAAAAACAAATTGAAAAATTGTCTTTGTACATAATACATACGATTGTATTTTTTCTGTCTTACACGCTAGCACTACTTTCGATTATTTTTAAATTTCGATAATTCGCTTGTCTAGACTCTCTTTCATTTAGTAAAAATGAACTATTTTCTATAAAGAGATACGACTCAATATTATAGACCGCGCTATTCAAAACAATTTGATTGGTTTTTTTGCTTCCATAAATAATAACGTATATTTTTTGATTATTTGGTCAAAATATCTTCCTGTTTTACTTTCCAAAAAGCCGAAGACTTTTTGTGTTATTTTTTACAACCAAGAATACAGGACAGTTATGTACGAATGTATTTTTCTCTCCCTTATTATAACAAGCAAGTTTTTTTTTATGTAGAAAATACTGAGTAGAAAATTCGGAACTCATAAAATCAAATTGATTGTATAAAATATTGATTTTTGTTATTTAGAATTGATAAAATCGAAAATTGGCGGCTATATATTTTCTTTCTCTTCGAGTGATATTGATTATTTTCTAAATAATGTGAAAACAACAGAAATACGAAAATATTTATTAAAATAATGAGAGAGAAATAAACTTACAAATTCATTTGTGGGAATATGATTCTAAGTCCTCCAATTTGTTATGTTTTGATTGAAAATCACTGATGTTCGATTGTTAAATGCACTAGCTAATTTTAAATTAATGTTATTTATTTAATTTATACATCAAAAACGAAAAATTCGTCTATGTAATAGTTATGGATTAATCAATTATTTTTAATCCATTGTAATTATGTAAAAAATGAACTCCCAATACACTTTTATTAATTTCATTTGATCACAGTTTTTTTTTTAAATAAATTTAAAGTTTTAGTTCTAATTCTAATTTATGTACAATTGTACATGTACAATTCGAAATAAAACTTCATTAGGTATTCATGCATTGTTTAGTTTTATGAACACTAATTCATTTATCATTTTTTTTTTACTTAATTATTGATATTATACACATTTGTTTTTGCCGTTATTTTGTTTTTTGAGTTTATTCTCGCTAATAATAGAGTGAATTTTTCCATCCCGCGTCGGTATTTTTTCCTCGTCACAATAAAAATCATTTTAAATATTATTAAACCAGTAATGTGCGAGCTACATTTTACAGGGGGGGGGAAGATTTTTCAAAAACAAAAAATTCTCTAGCGAATCAGACAAATTTTCGTTTTTTTTTTTTTTTTTTTTCAGTCACTTTTTGAGGCGAAAATCCCTAGCAAATCGAAAGAATTTTCTCCGCGAAAAACCCTAGCAAATCGGAAAAAAATCTCTCGGAACCAAAAACCTTAGCAAATTGAAAGAATTCTCCTCAATTTTCTACATTGATGAGCTAAAAAAAAAAAAAAAAAGGTCTTCACTTTTTTCGTGAAAAACCCTAGCAAATTCGAATAATTTTCACGAAAATTTTTTGTCCCATCCAAATCACAGGGGGGGGGGTAAACCCCCCTACCCCCCCTTCGCACATTACTGTATTAAACATATATACATATACAGGGTGTGCCAGTGAAACTGATATTTTTTGTATGTTCGACCATCTTTACTTGGAAAATGATAATTCAATGAAATTAATTTGTTCTTATAAGGAGATATTAAGATGTTCCTGACAATTTAAAATAGTTTTTGGATAATGTTTTATATTCACAGGCTGATTTTTAAGCGTTTTCCTGAAAAATAAGGAAAAGTGAGGTTGTGTTGAGAATGGGCCTGGCGTGTCCATCACAAAAACATTATTCTTTTGCTGGGCACTTATTTTACTTCCTAAGACATCAATAGTTTATGCTACAAAAGAAAAAATTATTTGTGTTTGGAAACTTGGCTACAACTAGATCATATATTTGACTGAATGAGGTTGCGCGTCGTAACCGATTTCTTTCTAGCACATTTATGTCTCCAGACCGAACAAAAAAATTGAGATATCCAATCTAGCTGATGTATTTAAAATATGTGGCCTTCCTCTACACAACGCAAAAATAATTTTTGGATTTGGCCGCAAAATACGCTTTTTATAAGCATATATAAAATATCAGTTTCACTGGCACACCCTGTATATGCAATATGTTTGTAAAATAAACTGGCTCATCAATATGAACGCTTTCGAATATTTTAACATAAAAATGGAAATAATCATTTCGCAAAAAGTAATGTTGTTTTGTTTTCAATAAAAAAAAATGCTTACCAAATGATGATCGTTGATTGTGTCAAATTGTTCTGGACTATTTTTGTTTTAATGCAACATTCACAACAAGCGAAATCAAGTAGCAAATACGATTTATTTTTGAAATATCTAAAAAATGGAACCATTTTGTAGATAATATTACAAAACAATAATAGAAGAATGGGAGAAAGAAAAAATGGACAAAACTCATCCAACACAAATTGGTTTATTTTTTCCCTGGCCATTTTGTTGTACATCTATTGTGTTAATTAAACAATTGATATTTTTGTCAAGTGAACTATCTTAGAAGAGATAGATTGAGAGAATTTTCGTATTTCTTCAATTATAATGAACTTGAGATTTCCAACGAGAATTGGTTTCGTTCTGTTCGTCATCATCGTCTTCATCATCATCCCATGATTCTTCCGATGAATCATGATATATTTTTTCGTGTCGATTTTTTTGCGATTTTTTCTCATCATCCATTGGTCGTTTCGATATTTTGATTTTGAATCCATGAGTATTCATCACATCAACATTTTTACTGGAAGATTTTTCCGAACTTTTACTACTTTTATTACTGTCACGATGGTTCACTTGGCGGTGATAGTAGTGATGGTGGTGGTGGTGATGTTTTACTGACGATTTACTTGATTTGCTTGATTTTGATGATTTGGACGATTTTCTCGGACTATGCGTTAAATTTGTAAATAGATTTAGGTTTTTAATATTCTGAATGTAATAGGTTGGTGGCAAAACTTCTTTGACGTCTATTTGAAATTTTGGGTTTACTGAAGCCTCATCGTCATCTAATTCCTTTTTCAATTCGTTTGGTGATTGTTGAACGTCTGTTTTTGGCAGCCCATGTATGATTATATCATTACGAATGTCACCGGTCGAAGAAGGGAGTCCACCTTTTCGGCTGCCTGATCTAAAAAATTCTGATGGAGCTTCATCGCCGGCGACTTGCTGGTTTTTTCGCTTCGACTTATGAGATTTGTGACCTTCTGAACTATGATGCCGTGAGGAGTGACTGCGACTACTTGAACCATTTGTGTATGGTACGGATGGTTGTTTGAATGGAAATTCTTCAATTTTTGGTACGCTACACTCTTCTTCCATCGGTTCATCTGATGCTGATGGTAGTAAATCGAATAGTCTCTCACCTGGATCGAGGCTTCGCGAATCATCGTATGGAATCATTTCATCGTATGGCATTTTTGATTGTGCATACGCATCCATTGAAATATCATTGAATACAGTATCGGTGGGGGCTGGTTTTTGAGCCACTGAACTTTCAACTCGTATACTACTATTCGGTGAACTTTCAACAGCTCGCACATTCATATCGACATCTCTAGATCCAGGTCTTGTAATTTGTTGAAATGTATCATTTGATCGACATGTATTATTCTCCTGTATGGCTGGTATTAGTGGATGATAGTCAATATCTTGGCCCATATCAAATTCTTCCAAATAATCATATGCATCGACCAAATTTTCCAATACGTTCATGCTGAAATTGTCATTATCAGAATTATAGTACATGTCGTATTTGTTTGAAGTTTGATTGGTTTGATTCGATTGACTGGTTGATGGTTGCGGAAGTGTGTTATTAGAACTAAAATTTGAATTATTTCGCCCATTTTTTGAATTTCGAAGATTTTTAGGATCGAGAATATTTTGCGGCGCAGTACATTCATAACTATTAGACATCGAACTGATATTCGTCATATGATTATCAGTTAATTGGAAGAATGCTTCTGCTACTGACATTACTTGATCGGGACGAGTCGCAATTAATTGACCAGTTGCCATTGTTGGGTCGGCATTATTATAATTGTCAAATAAAGCTGATGTTTCTTCAATTCTGGCTGATGTATCTTCAATTCTCGTTTCAGGTACTTCAATGTGAAAATCACACGTTGTTATATCATCTGTTGAACGCAAATGGTCATCAAAGAAGTGAAAATCCATTCGATCAACGCTCGATGTAATATTCAGTTTAGAAAAGGAATCATCGTTTGAATATCGTGATTGTTCAGACAATGTGGGTGAAGGCGTTGGTGTTGATGACGGCACATTTTTTGATATTTCAATGGAATCACTTGATTCAGATATAAAGTTTGGAAACGATATTATCGTATTGGTAGTATCAATTGGTAAACTAAGCTGTTGTGGATCGGTTGCTGTTGGAATCGTAGGTATTATTTGATTTGATGAGGTTGACGGTGTTGGTATGATTAAACTTGAAATTTGTATTTTGGAGTTGATATCTTTCTCAGGGTTGCTTATTTGTTGTAATGGCTGCTGTTCAAGTGATGGTGGTGGTGGTATTGATGGTGGAGGTAATGGTTGATGAACGTCTGCGACAGAAGCAATAGTATTTGTGTCAAAGGGAATGGATGATTCAGGTATAATTGATTGTTGTGCCAATGAATAGTCTTTCTCTTGGCTATTGCTGTCACTTGAAATAGATTCTTCAGTATCATATGATTTCTTTGAACCTTTATGCATTATATTTCCTTCACGATATCGTTTGAATTTACGTGACCACCATCTTAGGAACTTGTTAAAGTATTTGAAGTGTGTAGTCAATTCATTCTTTCCACCGGTATTATCTTTACAACAGAGAGCTAGGTCGGAATACGATTTATATATTTGATCGAAAATCTTATCGTCAATCGATGTACTTTGATGTAAATTTCGAAGCTTCTCCTTTACTTCATTTAAATATGGGTTGTTTACGTCAAAATTTTGTATTATATGCACGGAACGTTGATAGAATATTTTCTTGATCTTGATAAGTGTTGTCAATGTTTCCGTGCAATCAAGTGGTATTGAGTCGGTAATTAAACCAATTACATCTATGTCATCATTATATTTTGATGGAATTCGTTTAATGTGTACTTTAATGCGGTCCAATAATTTTTCACGATCTTTATTGCATTTTTGTTCGAATGTTTTCTTCATTGCCAACGGCGACATATACTTATTCTCATCCCTGGACAATTTCTTTTCGAAATTCTTACCAAGACTTGTTTGTGGCTCTTTAGATGGTGTTGAAAATGTAAATAATTTCATGCTCGTTGATGTACTATCGATCGAACTAGCTGTATCATCGTGTTCTAGACTTGGTTCTAATGTAAACATATCGTTTCCGGTGGTTTTATGCGATTTATCTAATACATTATCCATGCTATGACTATGGTGTAACTTTTTGCTCCGTTTACTTTTACGAATTACTATTTCAGGTGGAACATTTTCTTCATGCTCTCTCAACAGCGGTGATTCAATCTCAGATCGTGATCGTTTCATAGCATTTTTACGTTCAATTAAATTGAGTGCGGTGAGAAAATCTTGTTCGTTGCTGCCTTCACCAGCACTTTGGACATCATCATTTTCATTGTGTGACAGTGATGTGTGTGATCGATCACGTAGTGATCTAAATCTATCGTGCTTTGATTTTTCCTTTTCTCTTTCTTTCTCATATTTTTTCGACTTGGATGAGCTTTTTTCGTTCTTTAGTGATGATTTTGAACGATGACTTTTCATCAATGCCTGATCTCGAATTGGTTTTTGTGCGTGCGCCTCTTTTTTCTTTCGACTCTCGCTCATTGATTGAACTTCAGCCGGTGCTTGCATTTCAGTCATTGGATGCATTTTGAATGGACTAATTTCAGTGATTGTGTCGACTGCATTGATTGTAGTCGGTTTTTTTACTTCAGTTAATTTTTTGATACGCTCAAGCGTTTGATCATAATCAATTATTTCTTCTTCGGATTCTTGATTACGTTTACTACGCCTTGAACTTCTACGTTCTTCCGCTATTTTATCGCCAGCTGATTCCTTTGCTTGACGCGCTGGTGTAATGCGAGTCGATTTCCGAACTGAAACTATACTCTGTTTATCCATTTTGGACGATCGTAATTTTTTTATGGGCTCATCAATTTTTGGTATTGTTGGTTCAGTGCCACTTGTGCTTGGTGTTTGTTCCTCAATCACTGGCGTGTACGTTTTCTTTAAATCATCACTTGGCCTTGGTGTGGCATCATCGATGAATTTTGTTTCAGGCTCACTTTCGATTGGCTCAATTGATTTTAAAGCAATTGAATTTCCACCCGGTATACTTCGAATTTGTTCAGCGAACAAAGCCGCTTCAGCTAAAACATCCAGATTGTTAATGACATCTTTAACTGATGGATAGCTTTTAGTAACTTTTGTTGGTTTGGTTCGTCGGCCAGAGCCAGTATTGCGTCCGCCAGACTTTTGATCACATGAATGATTTATCATGGGCGACAAGTCAATTGGACTCTGCATTGAAGTATCTGTATTTGGAGTTATCACACTTACCGCTTTATTTGACTCTGTCTCTTGTTCACTCTCTGGTGATGATGATTGCGGTGGTGTTGACTTTTCTTCAATATTTTGTGATAAAGATTCATTATTGGTATCTGGTGTTGAGCTGAAATTCAGTGGAGCCAATTGTTGTGAATGTACGATATGTGGATAAAAGAAGCCTTGACTCAAATCTTCAACCAATTTATTTTCGCTTAACTGTACTGGTACAATCGGTGAAATATCCGGATTGAATTCAATTTCGGGTGGAGGTGGTGGAGGTGGTGTTGGTGATGGTGGTGGTAATGATGAAGGAAGTGGTGGCTGTGGTGCTATCACATTGATTGGAGAAGCAACTGGAGAATCGATTGGTGCAGCAATCATTGGCATAGGAATTTCGGATATTATTATTGGTAATTCCATATTACTGGTTTTTGCTTCTACTGGCTCAATAATTAAGGGACTTTCGAACGGAGACTCAATTGAACCATCGACAACTTCTGATTCAATTACCGTTAGTTCAATTTCGGGTTCTTTTTGTACAGTTTTGAGATCTTCAATTTTCTGTTCGTTTCCTGTTTGAATAAAAATTTGTTCATTTTCAACCAACTTTTCTGGCTTTGATAATTTATCCGTCGTGTAGTCAATAGGTGCGTTCAAATCGACAGTTTTGGGACGTTCCTTATACTTTTTTTGTCTTGATTTTGACTTTCCTTTTGACAACTTTTCTTTCTTTGATTTTGATTTTGATTGAATTTTTTGTGGTGGTAACGTGCCAATTTTCGCTTCTGAATTAAATGGTTTGCATGAAACATTTTGTACTTGGCTGTCTACGTCCATTGCGATTGGCTCAGAATCGTTTGACAATTGAATTGTCGTGCTTGATGTGGTTTGAGATATTGTTTCTTGAACATTTGGATCTTCTGGAATTATATATTGTTTTGAATCATCTATTGTCCGGGACTCAATTTCTTGATTTTCGTGGATTTTTTCAAAGTCTTTAGTTTCTTGTATTTCCAATACTGGTGACGTGACTATTATACTTTCTCTTGTTGATTCCGATGGTTCAATTATAAGTTCTAACACATTAATTGGCGGAACAACATTTTCGGTGAAAGTTTCCGGATCTTCTTGTTTCGATGAGAATACGCATGGTGTTGTAGCTTCGGTTCGATTTTCAGTTTTATCGGAATTAGTTGGGCCTTCTGCAGGCTGTTCACAATGCAATGGTGTGATTGCTTCGGGTACTTGCTGCACAGAAACTGATTTTTCAGTTACAATTGATTCTTCAACACTTTCAGATGACTGCTTTTGCTCAGATTTTTGTAGCAGATTTTTTTGCTCAGATTTTTTAGTTAAACCTGCTTGATTGAAACACACATCTTCTGATGAATTATCATGTTCAGTGACATGCTCATCTTTGTAACCGACACTTTCTGTTTGAGTTGCCGTTGGTTGTGAGCCAGTAGAAGAGGCAGCAAGATCACTTTCGATTTTGTGATCTTCAATTTCTGGAATGTCTTCACTTAAAATTTCATTGATTTCAAGTGGCAGTTTGTCTATAGATTCACTTGGTACTGGAGCAAGTATCTTTGTTATGGTTGATATTCCTTCGTCCTTTTCTTGCAATTCATCCGATAATTTTGAGTCTAAGGCCTTTGTAGTAGGTCTGAAAGTTTCTTCTTCGTTAGGTTTTTGTCCGAGTGCTGCGGCCATTGCAGCTTGCTCGCCTTCATTATTTTCGACTGGTTCAGTTGGTCTTTCAATTCCAGCATATTGATTGATGCAACTATCGGTGCTTGAATCTGGAATTATATTTATTTTTGCTTCAGTGTATTCTTGAACTGGGTTTTCCCTGCTTGATACTTTATCTTTCAATGTTTTCTCTACAATTGTTTTATCCTCATTTACTTGTCCGACCATTGTTGATGGTTCAATTGACGATATATTCTCTGGCAAATTGACACTAACTTCATCATCACTTTGACTTTCTGAAGGATGTTTTTTCGGTTCTTCTTCGGCTTTCTGTACTTCTGGCTGTGCTTTACTTGAAACTTCTGCCACTTGACCCAATAGATCTTCAGTTGAATTGTTTTCATTTTGTTCTTGTTGTGATTCTGGTTGACATTCTGTAGACATTTCACTTTCTTTTTGAGAATCAGTTGAAACTTCTTTGTACGATTCAATAGAGATTTTCTCCTTGGTTTGTCCCTTTGTAATCAATGATGCTTCGATTGTACTAATCTCTTCTGGTTTTTGTGCAAAAAGTTGCGATTCTTGTGGCTGCGATTCAGTCGATATTTTGATTTCTTTTTCGTCTTCAGGTGAAATAACAACATCTTGTTGTACTTTATATGTTGGTTCAATTCTTACGTCTGTGAATTCACTTGATTCAATTTGTTCATTCAATTGAGTTAGTTCTTTTATAGGTGATGCTGGTAAAATATGTTCAGATTTATTTGAAACAATGACTGAAAGTTCCGTGTCATTGTCCGTTTTAGTTTCAGTCTCTGTTTCAAGCTCATGTAGTTCAACGTCTTCGTCATTAAATTCAACGCTTATTGTTGAAAATTTTTCATCTGAATCCGACATATCTTCTTCTTCCTCACCATCGTTCACAACAATTACTGATATTTCATTTTCCGGCATTTCTTCTGGCATGTCTTTGTTGTTAATTTTAACAATCACCGAGAACTCTTTGTCAATAGAACTGTTTGAATGCCGACTTTCCAAATCTTCCATCGCTTCATCGGTTTGTCCGATGATTTCTATCATATCTTCCACTATTTTTGACTCATCTTCTTTCTGAGTTTCAATATTTTGTATTTCTTCAATAGTAGCTACTTCTTTAGATTTTTCAGTTTGTTGTGACATCAACGGCTCAATTTGGTCTTCATCATTTTCGATGACTTTCGATGATTGTTTCAATGGATCAATTTCAATAAAATCATCTTGAATATCTTCCGGCGAATTAATAACTTCAACATCCATATAGATTGGCTCAGCGTCATCTTTTTCCAAATCGTTTGAAAGTTGTTTTTCATCATCCAGTGGTTCTGATGAAGTTTCAATATTTGATTTTTGGTTAATTAATGGAGTTTCGGCGATTACAGAAGCTACAAACTTCGCTCCTTCTTCATCCGATTTGCGCTCGCTTACAATTATTTCTGTTGGTTGTGCTACCATTTGTTCCATTTCCATCGGTTCATGCAAAATTTCAAGTGGCAGTTCTTCTCCCTTCTCTTCATAAACTGATAGTTGTTTGGAAAGGTGAAGCGTAATAGATGAACTTTTCTCTTCAATAGGCGAAGCTATTCTCATTGCCTCGACTTTACATTGAAGCTGAGTTGATTCGTTGGTATTGACATTAGTCTTTTTATTACTCTGTTCGCTACCAGATATCTGTTTTGTCTCAATTTCATTGATCTCTTTCATGAAATTTTTAACTTCAATATCCATATGAGTGAGGTCTTTGACCATATCCATTGGTTTTGCAACAGTTATTGTTTCAGATGAAACAGGCTGAGTGCTTATAAGCTTTTCATTTACTTTGGTTTGTATACTATCAGACGGAATATCGTTGTTTGAGGCCAACTGAACAATTGTTTTATTTGATGGATGTGGAGTACAAATGGTGAGTCGACGTTCTTGAATAGCTCTTAATCCATTGTAGCGACCTATGCTATTCGATTTAAATTGACTCTCGTCAACTTTTGCTGATCCATCATTGAATAACTCGCCTAAGAAATTCTCATAATTTTCGCGTGTCTCTTTACTTTGATTGTTAAATTCTTTGAGAGAATTGGCTCTCGTAGATCGCGGAAGTAACTGATGCAAAATACGTGATGACAATAGCTTTTCGACATTTGAATTTGGATTTGTTGGTGTTGATGTTGATGGATCATTTTTATCGTTTCTTTTAGCTTTTGTTGACTCTGTGATTGTTTCGTTTTCATCGATTGCTTTCGTTGTATTGGTTATCACAACATTAGCATTGTCAACATTATTTATAATATCAACCAACTCACAATTTGAAACCAAATTGTTGGCAACCGCTTCTGCATCGCTGTTAATTTGTTTATTATCAATTTTCGATACATTACTTTTACCAACATCGGCCACAATATCTGAAACAATATCATCAGATTGTGAATGTAATCTATAAATTTGTGATATTTCTTTTGTTTGTTGTTGTGATTTTCGTGAATGATCTTCATCAAGCAACGAACCACGCTGCGAACGTCGACGTAACGGAGTTCGTTTTTCAATCAAAGCTGAAGAACATCGATTTGATTCGCTTTTTGATTGAGGCAGATCACTTTCTTCAGACGAAACAATACCGCGTGGCGGAGATTCACATATTGTATAATTAGATTTAATTGCATCTAAAGGTGATGTCAATTGCTTTTGATCACAGATACTTATTATGGAAATCGATGAAAATGGTTTCAATACACTTTGAACATTTGATTGACTGATGGTGGACGTGTCTTTTTGATTGCTACATTCCGTCAAATAAATTGAATTATCTGAATCTAAAGAAACTGTTTCACCGGAAATGGCATTCATACGTTTATTATTTTGGTGATCAATGTTTAATGGGACTGGCGGTTCATTAATCACAACATCACTATCAGAAATACTATCGCTAAGATGTTGTCGAAAACTACTACTGCTTGATGCATGACCAAAATGTGACGATGACGAAGAAAACAATAAATTACGTGGTCGATTATTTTGAACCACAGATGATGAGGTGCCTGCCGAGCAATTGGCATTTTCATCAAAACTTTGCAGAGCATTATTGCAATTTGATGGTTCATCAATAATAACAATATCATCATCGTCGCCATCAGTGCTTGTTATGTTGCTTGTGTCGCTTATTGTGTGTGTTGTTGATTTAACATTATCTCTATTAATTAAATTACAACTATTATTATTATTACTATTTGAAATACTAGGTCTTAATGTTGAGCTATTGTTTTGTTGTCGTTTTTGTAAAACTCTTTCCCGATTTGATTGCTTCCGGGCGGCGAGTGACTGTATCTTATCATGACGTTTATTACGCAGATGTTCTGTATTCTGTATCAATAAATGAAATCCAATATTAGTTTCAAGTAAACCAGAAGCTAGTGGCTAATTACCATTTGAATTTTTTTACCGATCTTCTTAAGTTCATTTTTATTTTTAGTGCGGTAAATTCAAATTTCTTGTTTAAATAGATCCTTAAAATATGTTTGTTTTATTCTTTTTAAATGAATATGTGCTTTACGTTATTTTTCCCAAATCAAATTCTGGGAGTTTTATATTTTTGGCTTATTGAATATTCACATCACAATGAAGTTTTATTACTTTGTAATATTTTCACACATATGCAATCCGAATTTCGGCTATGAGCTCTAAGCTGCAATAAAAACACCCAAACTCAGCGAGGATTCAAAATTAAAATTCATCAAAACCTAGGGGAAAATGACTACTTATAAGTACGACGAAAGCTATAGAATTGTAAGAAAAACTTACAAAAACTTACACGAACTTATAAAATCGCACGCTTCTTATGAGAATTTATACATTAACACACTGCTGTAAGTTCGATATGCGTCAAAATTCCGAAACAGTCGCACATGTAGTAGTCAAATGAGACAACGCTGGTCAATTTTTTTAATTACATCTCACGCTGCAAATAATTTGTACAAAAGAGTAGAACGCATTTTAAAATTACCTAGTAAATTGGATATCATCCTTAAAAGACCTGATTTTGATATTGAAGCATCGCTCTCAACACTCATAGACTCATAAGCAATAATTCTTTGTGGATCTTTGAGATACATTACTGATTAATAATCAGTGATTATTCACTATCAAAACCGACTCTTTAAAAAATGACGTCTAATTAGACGAATTTATATTTCTTGGTATTTTTTCATCGAAAACTGTCTCGACTTATTTATACAAATTATTTTCTATCTGATTCGACATGACTAACATATATTACCATTTCCAACATTCTGCGATTTTCAATTGACGTTGAAAAAGTTACTAGTAATCTATAGGAACTTACGTAAAACTTAGACGAACTTACAAAAATGTATGTAGAACTCAAGAGTTCTTACGCGAACTTGTGAAACTTACAGATACTTATGAACTTACAACGAGTCATTTTCCCCTAGATCAAAACACAATTCCAAAAAGTCTAAAAAACGATTTCCATTTCTCAAAACTTTGTGATATAAGAGACGTTATACACAAAATTTATCAGTTTCAAAAATGTCCATCAATTAAAATAAGCTTCTTGGTATGGGCGTTTTAAGAATTGAATCAAGTTCCGTTCAAGTTTGAGCATAGCTTCATATTCGGTTATAATGTGGATTTTTGGTCAACCGGCTAAAAATCACCTCTACTCAGGCGAAAATGATATCCGAATAAAAAACAATTTTTTTATATAAAGTAACTGATTCAAATTGCAGACTCTATTAAAAAAAAAATATTAAAAATAATTCAATACTTTCAATGGCCCGAAAGATATCATCAATTAGAGTCAGTTACCTAATATAAATACGTAACGAATATAATCACTTTCGTGCGAGTCAAGAGATTAGCTTCGGCGAATTTGAGTGTTGTTTCGACGATGGGTTTATTGATGGTTCGATGATACGTTTATTGTAGATATTTGATAAATTTACAAAAATGGCAAAGTACCAGCACAACGGCACTTGAAACATTCAATTTTTTATTCAAAGGATTTTTGTTTGCCTATTTCAAATCGTGTCAAATTTGAAAAATACCTTTTAAACTAAATAGAATGTTTCAAGCGTTTCGCTAAAAATTACTTTGCATTTTTTGTGCATTATCAAGCGTACTTAAGCCGAATATTGCGTTTAATACTGAAACTAAGCAAGTAAAAACTCACCACTTTGGGCAAAACATCTTCTTCAAAGACAAGCTTATCGAAATAATAGAAGAATCTGTCTATAGCCTGGTCCATTGTGATTTTCGCTCTTAATAATTTTCTGTTCAAAGGAGAAAAAAGGAATGCAGTTTTGTTATTTTTATAATTAAAAGAAAGTTGCAGATAATTTAATGTAGAGAATAACATACGTAATTGAGTATTTTTTCATAATTGTTGCATGCCGGAATCGATCATCGACATAAATTTGAAATTGTTCATATTTTTTCTCAACCTTTCTAGGTATTTGAGAAAAACTTTTCTGTAGTATAATAATAGCTTTTCTATTATGTTTTCTCTTATCATTATTATGCGTGCATATACGAATCCAATGCTTGTAAAACAGCACTGCAAGCTGTAATTTCAAGAATGTTGGGTATGTTGAATCAATTTTAGTGCATGGATTGTTTGAATCTGTATGGATCGTCTCAATGGGTTGTTGCCTCGTGATCAACTCATGTGTTTTCTTGCATAAAGGATATAAAATTTTGGCCAACTCTAATTTTTTTGTATCCGTTCTAAGGATTACCATAATTACTCTTAAGTAATTTGTGGTAACCAGCTTTTCTATTTGTGACCAAATTTCATCGCAAATTTCTTTCACTCCCTCCTTTGTAAGCGATTGGTTAGCAATAGCTCTTTGCGCTCGAAAATTTATATAACTTCCAAGCAAACGGATAGCAATTAAACTGAATCTTGGATCCATATGCAGCTACATAAAACCGAAGGAAAAAACAATTAAATTTAATTGTAATCAAAAGAAATAGCTGTCAGTAAATTATACTCACTTCTTTATGTTTGAATGCAAGTTGAATGGCATATAGTTGTTCGATTACAACCGTCCACATTTTTCCTTCGCATGTACGCATCGACTGTCTTCGATCTTCAATGTGTTTTTCCATGTTTTTAAGTAATTCGTACGAACATTCTGTTGGCGGATTCAGACTTTTACCTAGAGTGACCAGCAAAAGAGGCAATTATATAGGAGTTTAGATTTGAAGAAATTAATAGAAAAATATAGTAGCTCTCAATAGAAGGGAAACTAGGTATCGTCAAGCTCAAAAATCTTAAACGCTTTGTTTGTTTGTTTGCTACACGCATACTTAAATAAGGTATGAATGGCTTAGAATAAAACCTCGACTTGTATTTGGGTCTATAAAAGTTGAACAGCTTAAAACAAAATGTGCTCAAATTTGTATGGAGTTGAGAGTATATTTTCAAGCTTTTATAAACTCGTATCTTATCCATTCGTATCAGTTATCAATTTTTAACTAAATTAGGTTTTCGTGGGGCAACTTTAATTGTACGTTATAACTTTTAACTCGGCTTTAAAACCTACGATTTTGATTTAATTCTGTTTTTAAAAAATATTTTTTTTTCATTTGATAGTTTGGGAGGTGTAATATCTGGGTGGCGCATATAATCGAGTTTTCCAGGGGGTGGGAATTTTGAAAAACCCTTTGGGGGTATGTTGGGGGTAAAAAATAGAAAATTTCTATCGGAGCAGAATTTTGAATTTTTCCCCAGGGGGGATGGGGTGCCCCCAATTTTTCAAAAGTTCATCGGATCAAAAAATAATGTACTACAAAGTTGTTCAGAATGACGAGAGAAATTTTTTAGGATCCCTGCCCTTCAAGTCAAGGAGTCGAGGGTCAAAACCCCCCAAAATATGATTTTTTGACCTGAAACCCCAAAATTTAGAATCAGCAGGGGGCAGGGGTCCTAAAAAATGTTTTTTGTCATTCTGAACAACTTTGTAGTACATTATTTTTTGATCCGATGAACTTTTGAAAAATCGGGGGCGATATATTATAAAATATATATATATACCGATATGTGCGGTCTTGTATTACTTACAGATTTATAGAGATAATTGAAATTAAATAAAAAGAATCCTATATTTATAAATCTTAACATATAGGAGTTTCCTACACACAAAAAAATCAACATAACTTTTTAAACGATTGTATCGTTTAATGTTGTATTCAAACGATAAATTCATCTTTTAAACGGTAAAATCGTTTAATATTTTCAAATTTAAACGAATTTATCGTTTAAAAGATGAATTTATCGTTTGAATCCAACATTAAACGATACAATCGTTTAAAAAGTTATGTTGATTTTTTTGTGTGTAGTAAATATGGTATTAGTAGACTTTTACCGAATATAATTTCACGCGAAATTTTCTTAATTGGACCAATGAGTATGTCCTCCTCTTCCTCATCGTTAAATACATAGATGATGTTATCTTTATTATCTTCGTTCGCTTGGACCAAATCATTTACTGATTGTTCTTTATTTTGATGTAGAGCTCGCTCCAAATCGGCTTGAATTGGTGGAGACACATGAGTATAGTTTTCGTACACATTGTGACTGTAGTTTTTAGGTTTGACTGCATTCGCCGGGATATCCTCGCGTTCCTCGTCATCACTAATGTTAATCACTTCGTCAGCCATCGCACTGGTTCTAAAGATGTATTTACACTATTCCATAAAACCACAACAGACGTTGTCATCAAATCTTCAATTGAAAATGAAACGATTGAAAATCTATGATAAATAAAAGCCAATATTAATTTAACATTTTTCCAAAAAATAAACAATAACATGAAAAATATACGACTAAAGCGATTGAAAGTCAAAATTTATGTGTTTTTATCCCGTATTCTCTTATAACCACACATTCATACAGCAGACGACAACATATGAACACGCACACACATACACACACGCATACTGTAAAATGTTTACATGAATGAAATAATCAGACGTCAGCAACAAACATTTATGAACCGAGTCAAAACACTATATTCAAAGCTACATAAATGAAGAAGTGCGTTTATTAAAAGACCGAATTTGTGTTTTTTTTTCTCGCAAGAAAATTGTATAAGAAACGACGCCATCTACTTCACCAAGTATGTTTTTATCACTATTTTTTTGGAGCACAAGCGCAATTACCAAAACGAACACATATGCATACAGTCTGTTTGCACTTACTTTGTATTATAAAAGCATACACAAGCAAGCACTGACAGAAACATGTTGAAACATGTCCGAACTTTACAAAGATGTATTACTGCTACACATATCAGGTAAACTGCACACTAATAGAAGTTGAACCGAAGTATATTGTGAAGATACGAAATTTGATCCCTTCTTTATTACAGATATTATAGATTTAATAATATAATTTTGTATGCATAATGTGCGTTCTGTCAAATGAATGGACGAAAAACTTACTGCGAAACACAAATTTTCTACTTTTATAATTTTTCATCTCTTGTAATTTCTGACCTTTTTAGCCAATGCTCATTGTGCATTTCTACTCATGAATGTATTGTTCTTGAGACGAATGAATTTATTATGAATTTTCTTGGCCAAATCCTAAATAACCTATGTTTCAGTGTTATAGTGCTAATTCTGCCTAGGAAACACCGAACATATAACAGGCTTCATTTGCTCAACCAAATATTTTTCGGTGGGTTTTTCACAAAAGACACAGTTCCATATGAATCGCCACCGTCGCTATTATCTTATTAGCACTAAACATTGAGAGGCAATCAATTTTAGAAATCAAAATAGTTGTTCCCAAACAAAAAATTTAAAGCGGTTGAAGAAGTTCCTAACATTTCATTTCAATTTATGCGAGACAATGTGGTCAAAATACTAACACACATACTAACACACATACGTACATATACATCCAATTGAAATGCAACACAAGAATCTTAAACTGTTTTCTGGAGATACTCATTAATTATTTGGTGATGATTATTGCGAATTTAACCAAAAGCCAATAGCATTGCAGTGCATTTAATACAGAGATAACTGAAGCATTCTTTTGTCGATACGGTAAAATAATATGGCGGATGCTCAAATCGAAAACTGTGTGCATATTTTTTATTTTTATTGTTTCATGTGTTCTTATACATTAGATTGTTCTTGATGTTATTTTATAGAGAAAAAGAATTGGACATTCATAGGTGAATGCGAAAGCGAGAAAACGGCAATTGCGAACAGAATGTGTGGTTGAAAGAAGATAAAAAAAAGTTGTGAAATGAGAAAGAAAAAATGAAAGAAAGGAAAAAAAGCGAACGAATACACACATACATACATACACTGTATAAATTGAAAATTTAGCTGTATTAAACAACATACAATGTTATAGTATATATATACACATATACATTCAGGTCAACCCAACCTTTCAGACAATTTTTTTTTACTTATCGTGTTTATTATTTTTTTTGTCTTTTTCGAAAACTACAGATTTTCACACAATTTGGTACACATGTTTAATTAATTACTTACAATATTTTTAAGCGACATTATTCCAAATGGTATAAATAATTCACAGTTTTGATGATTGGATTTGATCACTTCTAGTCATTTAATTGAAACATTATTGTTCGATGCATGAATATATATATATATATATATAAAACTTATTTTTTCTCTCTTTTCTCTCAGTCGCATCGGTAGAGTCTATTAACAAATGAACGATAATGAATATCAATATATATAGGGAAACACATACACTGTGATTTTACTTAAAAGTGAGAAATAAAAGCAACAAAAAATATCTATTTTCACAAATATTTCCACTTTATAAATACCACAATTCACACAATATTTATTTAAGTTTTCCTGTTAGCACATTTTTAGAAGTTAAACAAACGTTTTTGTTGTTAATTTTCTATTGAAAATTAGTTTTTTAGCCTAATTGAAAATTTACTCGCGTTTTTCGTGCCTTCAACACATACAAGAAATTCCATTTATGAACGGATTATACTGAGGTTAAACCGTGCTCTGCGCAGCCCCACTAAATCATTCGAAAAACATTCGAAACAAAATGGCTGTTTAGACAGATTGCGGTTCAGATGTGTTGTTAGTCCGGTATATTCTCTACTTATCAAATCATTTGCCACATATAAGTATTTCTATTAAATGTAATAGACATCATCATCATCAGAAAAATTTCTCTGATTGCAATTATGATATTTCATTGCATTTTTTTTTTTAAATATAAATTTTAAATTGAATTTCACTCATAAATACAATAGATAAATGGCATGCATTTGAATAATATCATTTGAATTTTTATCAATCTGCTACCGGTTCAAACCGAAAACTGCTCTAGTGGAAAGTGTTCAAACTATTATCAAATGAAGATAATTTCGATTTCTGTTTTATGGTGAATGACAGATTGTTTTGATTATCAATAGGCCATGTTGATTTTTTTTCTGGTCAATTTAAACATCAATCGAATACAAAGAAAAGAAAACAACAAATACATTTTTCTAATGGAAGAATCAAGTAACCAAAGAAATAATATCGGTGTCACCGATTCGCCCCACCATGGACCAACTTTATCAACCAGTACATCCAGTTTCGAAGCACTTGAATCATACGATTCAGAATTAAGTCGATTAGCAACCAGAGCTTTTGAAAAAACATACACCTATGTGACACATGATATGAATGCATCGTTGGAAGACTATACACTTTTGGAGCAAATGAATCGGGCTTGTATTTCAAAATACTCCGATATGCAACAGATTAGTGAAAATTTGGCCACGTCTTCTATTCAGCTGAAAGAAAAATGTGATAATCTGGTATGTACAAACGTTGACATTTTTATTTGCACTCAAGAACGACCAATATAAAATTTCAACGTGGATATTTTTCTTTGCAGGTACCGTATTTAGAACAAATCGATGACATTGAAAAAACTGTCAATAAACTCGAAGATTGTGCCTATCAGCTGGATGCCTATAGTCAGAAATTGGAACAAAAGTTTAACAATATCACAAGAAAGAAATGAATGTTTTTGTATTAAATAGAGAGAAAAAAATGTACTATTTGTTGAATTGATTCCGATTTATTTATAATATAATTAGACAAAATACATTTAAGGAAAAACAATGGAGTTTATTTTTTGCTTGGTAAATTTTTAAAAGCAAAACTACTACTATCCAAGTATCAGTTTTAATACGATCGCAACGATATTCAGGAAAATTAATGGAACTAAAATAGAAAAAAAATTATGTCTTAATTATGTCTTATTTGATAAAAGCAAAAAAAATTACGCACTCTTTGCAACGGTTCGAATACTGCGAACGAGATTTAGCAGTTGAGCTTTTGTAGTTGGTTCACCAAAACTTTGAGCTGCGCTATTTGCTCCCCAACCAACTAAAAAAAGATTTTAAATGTTATAATAATAATAAGTAATGATATTTGAGTGATAAAAATTAAATTTTGAAAAAGAATAACTTACCTTTTGCAAGAAATCGTTCTTCATGTAAAATGCATATTGCATTCAAGCAAAGCATTGACGCTTCTATTAATGACCAAAACGTAAACATAATTTATTTAAAAAAAAATTATAACAAATTATTTGAACAATCGTAAACGATTTGAATTTGTATTTTGCTCTTGACTTCAATTTCAGACAATTTGTTGTCTTTTTTTGGTTACATGGCCACCTCTAATGACATTTTCCAAGTTGTATTGATTCGAATTTCGAATATCTTCATCGTCATCCATTTTCGAAATTCTAAAATGATTTGCTTGCATCATTCATTTGATTGGCTGACATTTTGGAATGTGTATTGTTGCAGTTTATAGCGGCGCTGTTGTGTAAAGCTCGTTTGTACTAACGTCAAGTAAATGTCAAATTCTATATATGAAATCTTTGCTCATCGTACCGAACAATTTGCAACATTTTTTCTCGAATATAGTTTACCAGTTTGAAAGATGCCTTTGCAGAATTTGGTAAGTGGAGATTATTTAATTTTATCAATATATTGGTTATGTATATCGATAGCTATAAAAGTGCATCATCACCAACGATTGTATTTGCGTGTGAAAGGGAGAGTGAGAGAGAAAATAAGCACTAATAAACAACTTTTATTTTGTTTTTGAATCAAATAATAGACTAAATAAATTAATGAGATTATTACTGGATATTTTTTGTTTAAAAATAAAATATTAATCATATTCCACTTATTTACTGAATAGAATCCAATCGAACCGATGCAAGTGGATGCACCGGCTGAGGATAATGAAAATAACGAGGAAGAGACCTATACCATTGAAAATCCGACGATTGATTTAGATTTTTATGGAAATTCGTATACAGGTCTTGCAAAATTGCATCGTTTAATATTCATCGCTGATCACTGTCCATCGTTACGCTTGGAAGCACTGAAAATGGCTATAAACTACGTCATGTCTACATACAATGTATCACTCTACCAGCATTTACATCGAAAGGTATAACAGTATTTTGTGTATCGAAATAAAATAATGTCAATTTTTTACAGGTTGCCCAAACAAATGGCGGTCAATTACCAGATGTAGCTGCTGCGGCTGTTGCAGCTGGTGGTAGTATGCAGTCATCTTCACAAGATATACCAGCATTTGATCCATCTTGGATTGAAGGACGAATGAAAAAAGGTGCACACAAATTAGAGAAATTGGACAATGATTTGAAAAATTATCGAATGAATTCGATCAAAGAAAGCATTCGTCGTGGTCATGATGATCTAGGTGATCACTATTTGAACTGTGGTGATTTATCAAATGCATTAAAATGTTATTCCCGCGCTCGTGATTATTGCACCAGTGGTAAACATGTAGTTAACATGTGCCTGAATGTAATCAAAGTGTCGATTTACTTGCAAAATTGGTCACATGTTCAAAGTTACGTGTCAAAAGCTGAAAGCACACCCGATTTTTCGGAAGGTAAATCACAAATTAAACAATCACATAAATTACAACTAAATATTCACAATTTTTTCAATTGAATACAATTAGATGCGAATCAAACAATTATAACCCGACTCAAATGCGCTGCTGGTTTGGCATATTTAGCCAAAAAGAATTATAAGAATGCGGCTAAATCATTTTTGCAGGCTAATTTCGACCATTGCGATTTAACCGAAATTATTTCGCCCAATAATGTGGCCATGTATGGTGGATTATGTGCACTTGCCACATATGATCGTCAAGAGGTGCAAAAGAACGTGATATCAAGCAGTTCATTTAAATTGTTCTTGGAATTGGAACCACAATTGCGTGACATTATCTTCAAGTTTTACGAATCGAAATATGCATCATGCTTGAAATTGCTCGATGAAATCAAAGACAATCTTATGTTGGATATGTATCTGGCACCGCACATCACTGGATTATACACAAAAATTCGAAATCGTGCACTTATTCAGTACTTCAGCCCATATTTATCAGCCGACATGGTTAAAATGGCACTGGCCTTCAATCGCAGCGTTCCAGAACTTGAAAATGAAGTCATGCAATTGATTCTCGAGGGACAAATTCAGGCCCGCATTGATTCACATAATAAAATTTTGTATGCCAAAGACACAGACCAGCGCAGTTGTACTTTCGAGAAAGCCATATCCGTCGCTAAGAAATATCGTCGACGCACCAAAATGCTCATTTTGCGCGCGGCCGTTCTAAAAAATCAAATCCATGTTAAAGTAAATTGTCAAAAACTCTAACATTTTGAAACAAATGTATTGTTGAAAAATTATTTGATTGTTTTGTGTAATATTTCAGAATCAACCACGTGAAAATGTTGGCGCAGGACAGAACAGCGGTAATAATCATATATTATAGACTGCAATCCTATTTTAAAGACATCCTTTTATATCCTCTATTTTCAAAAAAAATCCTATATTTTTCTTTAAATTTTAAATATCTATATGAATCTGTAAGTAAGACATGACCGCACACATATAAGAAACTGTATTCGCGTTAGCAAAAATATTGCTTAAAAATTGAGATTTTATAGTGTTAGTAGAGAGAACAACATGGAATTAGTATGAGACACACAATCAAATCGGAACAACGTAACAGCGACGAACATACAACAACTGCAAAAGTAAATTTTAATTCGATGTATTTTTTGTTACGTTCTCTAACTTAGGAAGTAATCGTCGGACTCTGTAGAACTATTCTATTGTAACCATTTCCTCTATCTGGATCGATTACAACTACGAAATCACAAATTTAAGCGATGTTAATTGTTTAAGCGATTATAAACTTACTATCAAAAATTAAATATATAATTTTTTTCTTCATATTTTCCCTCCTATTGGGCTATTAATTTCTTCAAAACTCCTATATAATTGCATTTTTTTCTGATCGATTTTGGAAATAATCATACAGAAATGTGCGCAGCAACGGCTTCCGGATCACAAAATCAATTTCGTAATTAAAACAATCATGAACTATTAATGAAAAACCAAAATAATTTCTGTTATAAAAAATATTTTAATACCACTGAGCATTTCAAACCAATAAGAAATAAGTAACGAACCCATGAACTGACATTTTCGATTTAACCTAAACGATAAAAAATTCTTAGGAAAAAAATAAAATTCTTGACTAAAGTTCAAAAAACTAATTTATTTTTTTAAATCATTATAAAATTGATGATCATTTTAAATGATTTTTCGTATTTTCATTAGTGATTTTATCGAAGATTACATTTTCAAACTGAGATTTTGCATTAAACTCTATTGAATGTTGATCGAATATTTCAAAAATGGGATCGTCGGGTTTATTTGTTTCGTTATCATATTCTGCACCAACGCTCCATAGCATCTCTAAATCATATTGTTTTCGAACTTTTGCCGAAAATATGTGTAATGCAATATTGCCCAAGTCAATTGCCATCCATTCATCACTGTTCTTTCCTTCAATTCGTGGAACAAAAGCTCGTTTTCTGTCACATTTTACTTTATATATTTTTCGTACAAATTCAGCCAATGCCTTCATGTGTCGTTGACTACGTGCCGTTATCACCACCAGATAGTCGACATATTTCAATTCTTTAGGTACGGAACATACAAATATATTCTCAGCATTATCACGCTTTAATACAGCTACCAAATCCTCGATATCGAATACACCGGTTTTTCCATCTAAAATTATGGTAAAATATAATATATGTTCAGCATGTAATTTTTATTTTGAGACTCACGTTCGATATTCAATCCGGTGTAGATATTGGGTGTAGTATCTTCAACATCTTCAATTTCACCAGCCAGAATTTTTTCACGTTCTTCTTCGATATCTAAAATTATTGTAGCGCTATCGTCGTTGAATACATCAAATTTAGAGTCAATCGTTGGTGTAACATTTGAACCACTTTTAGTATCTGAATTATCATCATCTTTTGAACGACAGAAAGCACCATTATGAAAATGTATTACAAATTGATCATATTGTATTGCGGGCTTGACGTTCTTTAATACTTTTCGATATTGTGCCGAAAAACGTTGTCCATATTTCAAAATGTTCAGCATTGTGCCGCAATAAATCTGTTGAAATAATCTAAACAAAGCAAAGTCGTTTGAGGTTATGTGATATTGATTTTTTCTTTTTGTCACTGACAACTCAATCTCTCACATGGTATAAAATACAAAGCCGTAAGTAATTCAACTTTGTTGAATTATTTCGGAAGTTTAAAAAAAAATATAATAAAATGCGTTGAGTTCAATTAGATAATCAATTTTTCAAAAATAAAAAAACAAACAAATAAAATTCTTGTAGATAGTTTTATTGATGATAATTAGGGTGCGTTCATAACAAAGCAGTATGTGAAGTATTGACATTAATCGCCAATGTTTTACAGCGTTGTGTTAAAGCAGTTGTGTGTTGAAATTTTTTATAAGTTAAAACGAGAAAATAAAAAAACGTTCAATAAACTTCGAACTTAAAAAATTAAATGAATGTTCTAAATAAAATAGCTTATGAATAGCATTGATAAATTGAATGTAGTGTCGGGATTTTTTTTGTTTTCATTTTAAATACATCTTTTATTCAATATTTATCGTAGGAAGTCGAGGAAAAAAATAGAATCCAATTGTATACTCACACAAAGATACACAATAAATAAGTGCATAAGTACCGAAAAATACAAAGTGTAAAATAAAATAAAATGGATGCAAGTAAAATTCAGACAGATTTCACCGAAATCGATTCGAAAAAAAATGGTTGGACCATAGCCTATCAGGTGAATTTCGCAATTTGTAGATTAGAACAACAACAAAATCATTTTTGTTTCATTGAATCTATTCGGAAAACAAGCGATGGAGACACAGAGAGATAAAAAATCGCATACAGCGCACAATAAAATTCAGATGAAATTCATTTAGATTATTTCGGTGTACTTAGTGAACGATGAAGAATAGCAGAGAGTATATAGTTTTTTCAATGGATCTATTATTATTTACAGATCAATTGCAAATAATGTGTGTTAAATACAAATGAAATCGATAAAATAATATAAAAATATATAAAGGCAGATAAAACTCCCATTCCATTTTTCGGTTTCAGTGAATTTCACAGTAATTCCAATTAAATTCCAGAGCTCTGACTTTGACAATATGCTACTCATCTTGGCATTTATTAAAAATAAACTAAATCCGATTCAGCCCATACAAACATAGTCAGTGAACGTTCGAAAGAATGCATTGGTGTGAGATATCAAGCACAGATAAAAAACCTTCAATTGCAATCAATTCGATCAAAATATGTGAAACTGGAACAATTTTTCGTATCTGGTTCAATCATTTTTTTGTTCTTTTCGTACATATTCAAACAATACAATAACTGCCGCAGCGTTGGCATAGGAACCAGGCAGAAATAGCAATGAATAACAACAACAACAACAACAACAACAAAAATAACGAAAACATAAAAATGCGTTAATACGTGGATATCGTTTTTCGCAGAATTCTTGCCTTCAAGTCATATTTTTTGTGTTCTCCTTGTGCGCACAAACGATATATATGATATCTACCTCTGAACATGCGTTTTTTTTTGAACCAAAAAAAGTGCGCGTACATACGATCGATGTATGAGTCTGTGTATTATAGAGAAAATAGGAACGAATTGTGTGCAGGTTTATATATTCGGGTGATTTGTTTGTACTAACAAAGTAATTGTAATGGTTGCTCTTATATTGAAATTCCAAATCTAATCCATGTTCCATTTTAGTTTGTTGACCATGCAATCTGATGCCAGGCTATGTAGTCGAAAACGACCTTATTTTAAACATATGATTTAAAAAAAATACCATTGATTTAAGCTTCCAGTCAACTTAATCATTTCAAGTAATAGTCATTTATGTCGGCAACGATAGCGGCGTTGACTGCTCTAAAGCATTATAAAATTCGATTGAGGTGTCATGGCATAATCATACACGGCTAATGGGTTGTCAAATCGCCCGACGCGATATGCACAATTTTACAGAATGTGTAATTTGTTGGAATCGGTGAAGCAATTGAGAGGTTCAGAGGAAAAATGTTATGTAGAAAAATTCCACGGAAAAATCAATTAGCTCTTCTAAATGATACCAAATAGCTCAACTAAAGCTATTTGGTATCAATTAGTTAGGCTTTACAAATTCAGAACAGAATGTACGAAAATTGCACTCATATGTTCATACAGCTTGTTTCACACATGAATCGTTGCGGCGAAAGAGTAGCTCTTATTTTTCTCCAAATAATACTGCAACATAAAGTTTTTTATGAATAGTTTATTTGTTGTATTACAACAAATAAACCGTGTGAAAAAAACTTCATGTTGCAGTATTATTTGGAGAAAAATAAGAGCTACTCTTTCGCCGCAACGATTCACATATATCACACATGTTTGTCGTTTGGTCAATGTTTGTTCGTTTCTCAATGTTGTTGTTGTAGTTGGTGGTGGTGGTGGTGTTGGTGGTGTGTTTTTTTTGCATTACCTCCTTTTGTCGTACTTTTTAGTTTCGGAATGTGATTATGTATGGACTCCAGTTAAGATCACTGTGTGAGCATATATACTCGTTTCTTTTTTATATTGTGCAGAGACGTCTTTTCCGATAAGTTCACTATTTGCCTTTTTCTTCTAATTTCATCGAGTTCTCAGTATTGTAAATCACAGAACAGTTATATCAACATGCAGAAGAATAAGATGTAACAAAATGTTTAAAACACAAAGGAAAGGAAAGGAGGAAAAGAAGAAGAAAAAAAATTAAAAAAAAAAACAGAAAAAAGTAATATGACAATGCAATTTAACACAAGGTTATACTCGTACCGAGATGTACCTTCCTTTCTCAGTATCGTACTATCAATAGATGATCTTGTACTCTCTTCGCTATACACTGACAAAACTAAGGTTATGATTTTGACAACTCCGTGTTGT